CCACTAGAGGGTTGGAGGGTGAAGCGTTTCAGTGTAAAATGCTGCTCAGTTGCTGTTCATTTCTTAAGTAAGACTGGAAACTGTTAAGAGTTAACAACATATTTTTTTGAAAACATGGCTAAAACTACATTTGATATCTTTGATATCTTTTGCACTGTTTTGCACTACAAGAAAGAAGCCTAATACTTGATTTGTTTATTATTTAAAAACTCTCTGGACCTAGTAGTGGAATTTTCTTAATTCAAAATATATGATGGCAAAAGGACACCCTATGCTTTTTTTTTTTAGCAAGTTTTATACCAAAAACATATCGCAATATATATCATTATCGCAACCTTCCCCAATACATATCGTGATATGAATTTTATGCCATATCGCACATTCCTACTCGGTACTTATAAAATCGACTGATTGAGATGTTGTATTGTTTTTTTTGTTTGTTGGTTTGTTTTTAGGGCTAATGTCAATTAATTTTGATGGCCATCTTGTACTGGACAGACTACAAAGGTTATTCAGTTTTATGTACATTTAATGACTACTTGCTGAGAGTTTTGTTTAAACCTGTCCAGTGAGTCATGAGATACTTTGCTAAAAGACAACCAGTGTTGACTCCAACGTTCATCCATCCATTTTCTTTACCCACTTTTTCCTTTTTGGGTCATGGGGTTTGCTGGTGCACATGTCAAGCAGTTACTGTGCGAGGGGCAGGGGACACCCTGGACAGGTCTCCAACGGTTAATGCCAAAGTTTGAATGATCTCCCCCAATGAGTAGCACTCAGTGAATGTGTTGTAAATGACCCTTAGCTACTACCATACCAAATTTTAGCTTAATATCTGTAAATTTGACTGAAATATGGCATTCATTGGGTTTTCAAAGTGAGTAGGCTTTAGTGGACATTTGAATTTTTAGGTAAATAATTGTAGAAGTACATCCAACGATTATTTCCTGAAAGTTTCAATAAACTTCCATCAAGTGTTTTTTTTCTCTTTTCTTCTTCTTTTGGCTGCTCCCTTCTTCAGGGGTCACCACAGCGAACTAAGTCGCACAAAGACTTGGCAGTTATTTTTACGCCGGATGTCCTTCCTGACGCAACCACAGACCACCGAGCTACCAGAGCCCTCTGTGTGGAGCAGAGAGCTGCTATCTAGGACACCCAGAGGAGCAGATGGTGGGGGTTAAGGGCCTTGCTCAAGGGCCCAGAGTGGGACGAATGAGGGTGGGGGCAGGTGTGGGTGCTTCACCTACGCCACCCACATTTTTTATGTTGTCGGTACCGGGGCTTGAACCGGCAATCTTCTGATCACAGGCCCACCTTCTCTAACCTCTGTGCCACCACTCTCATCAAGTGTCTTATGAGATATTTTGTGAACCAACTGTTGAGTCCAGAAAGTTAATGACAAAATGTTAAACTAAGATCTTGCACAATCTGTTGCTCAGACAATGCGTTGGGGATCAACCTCAGCTACCACCATGCCAAACATTAGGTTATCAAACTGACTGAGTTATGGGCATTTTTTTTAGGTTAGTGGGCTGCAGCAGCCATGATAACTCAGACTGACATTAAAGGTTAATCAGTTGTTGATGTTCTTCTAATAATTACTTTCTTCAAGTCTGAATACAATTCATCCAGTGGCTATGCAGAATTTCACAAAAGACACATGTGCTCACACAACATGTACGTTTACATTTTGGGGTTAGAAGATAAAATTAAAATAAAATAAAAAAAGCTAAAAACAACTGATCTTCTCCTGAGTAGCATGTATTATACACAAGTCTGAGCTTTCATCTGGAAAAAAAAAGATGGATGGGAAGATGAAGAGGAGAGCACACCTCATGTTTCCAGCAGCTCGTGGTTCCATTCAAAGCTGGGAAAAAGCCCTGGAGCTAGATGAGGATAAAACAAGGAGTCTCTCAGAGCACCTGCAGCTGCTGGAGAAGGTTGAATTATCCATGTTAGGAGGCTCACGCAGGCCACCCTGAGGTAACACCACCACACGCTACAGAGAGAGGAGCTGCAGGATAAAAACCTGAGCTATGATAAATATGTCATACACAGTCCAGTGGGCACAAATATTTGTTTTCACATAAAACAATTCATAAATGGCTTCCAAACTTTAAATGAAGTGCTAAAATCGGTGTTGAACACTTGTGTGCAGAGAGATGGTGTTTGACCCCCTCCCTCTTGCAGGCCTTCTGGATTCTAACTGCAAGATTGTCAGAATAAAAACTCACCCTATGACGGCGAAGGCAGGAAGCTCCTGGAGGTCAAAGGGGAAGTCGAGCCGGAAACGAGTTTTAAAAAGAGCTGTGATGGTCTCTGAGGAAAAGAAAAAATTACAACCAAGTTAAAAAGAGAACCACACTGGAAAATCAAATAATGTGATTTAAGTGAGAGTGAACTGGGAAAGATTTACTGGAAATCATGTTTTTTATAATTTTAACACAAAGTTTAAAAAAATAAAAATAAACTAATGACCTATTTCTTGAAGGAATGCATATCACATTATATAATGTGTTAAAATGCATTCAAATTTATGTTAAAAAATTGATTCTGTTTGCTTATTTGAATGGAGAACCATGAAATATTTGTAAACTTAGATCAAATCACTCCTAATTTTTTTTATTTATTTATTTTTTTTTTTTTTACAATGTTAGCCGTAAATATTTTAGTCTGTCCTCAGAGGACTTATGATTTGATCCAGGAACTCACTTTGTTGCTCGTCTCTGAACGTCCTCTAACCATTGTTTATGTCTCTCCAAGTAAAGTCACTCGACTTGTACACAATTTCTAAGACTGACTTTAATATACATACAATAATAAAAATGACTTTTTATCAATACATATAAATAGTTGTTAGGAGCCAAGACATGATTTGCCTTGACTGCAGCAATGGAAATACAGTTTAATATTTTTCTGTCAGTTCTGTATACACCCATGTCTTTGTCTTTGTTCACTGCCTCAATGTCATCTTTTAGGCCTTGGTCAACCAAAGACAAAATCAAATGGTACAATTCAGCAATTCAGTGTGTTTGGAAAAAATAAAAAAAACTATTCCATTTAGAAGATATTATGCAGGGCAGACTGTTAATAAAAAGGAAAAAAATAATGCAGGCTCAAGAACAAATCCCTGAGGGACTCCACTATTAACATTTTGCCTATGACTTTGCACTTTTAATACTCTGTTTCCTATTTCTACAAATAAATAAGCCAACAATTCTATATTTCTAGGGTTTATATTTTAATTTGGCATGTGGCAAAGAATACCAGGAGATAATTTGGCATCATGACCACATTACCTTCGTCTCTGTTCCAAACAGCCAGCACTCGGAAGATGAAGGCACTGAAAGTAGCTGCAAAGAAACCTCTCCAGTAGTTCCTCACAGCAAAGAACGTGGATGTTACTTCTATGCTGAACAACACTCCTGGAACACAGAAGCAGCACATGACAGAGCCACTGGAACTGACCAGAACAGAATCCTGGGAGTCACATCTTGACAGGCAAGATCCAGCATCATAATAAACAATATTGTTTTTTAAAGTATATGCTTATAGTTACACATGGATGTTAGTTAACTAGTATCTGCAATGCTGACAGTTTGGAGAGTCAAAGCTCCTTCAGCTTCTCTCACCAGCTCAGAACAAGTGAGGGGGCATTGAGAAGTAACTGGTTGGAGCTCAACAGAAGATGTGTCATGTGTGAGATGTGTTCTGCTGCAGACCAAGACTCTAAATTTAAACATGTGATGACACAACATACACCAAAAAAACTCATAATCTCACCTCTGTAGGGTCCCCTCTAATTTAGATAAGGCACAAACAAACAGGTTTAATTTCTCCGTTCTTCTGCTGCTTTGCAGAGATAAGCAAACTAAAGGAAGAATAAAACCAACAATAACATATTTAGGTTTTTTTGGAAACTGACCTCCGATTGGAGCAGCAAAACAGCAGCCCACTCCCACCGCACAGGCTGCTGCCAGCATCTCGATGTTCCTTGACTCATTCTGAAACACAAACATGGTGACAGGTCAGCAAGTCTGCAAATGCCTTCTTTAAGAAAGTCAAAGGCCTGGAATTTTTTAAAAACCACACATCACTTACAGCCAATCATCTTCTGGTGAGAATTCATGGAGTTGTTGCCACTTTGGGGAAGCCTTCTAAATTATGTTTGCAATACTACCAGACTTTGCAAGCCCTGTTACCACAAACTATGTTGAGTATGCCCGTATTGTTATGTTGAGTATGATTCTCAGCTACTACCATTTTAACAAAAACAAGCTACTTTTGAGCTGAGTGATTCTGACCAGAGTTTATAGACTTGACAGTTAATGACAAAGTTTTAAACAAAGGTGTCATGCACTCAGGGGATATGTTGTGAATGTCTCAGCGACTGTCACACCACATTTTAGCTCAGCTTTGGCCATTTTTATGTTGGCTAATACCAGTTAGCTGGTGGCCATCTTGAACTGGAGTGACTCTAACATCAGTCAGCTTTAGATGTACAGCCAATGAGAACTGTGAGAGTTTCAATAAAATATGCCAGACCTGCACATAAATTACAGACAATGATGAAGCTCAAACTCATATGGGACTATTTTAAGTTTTAGTTATCCGAACTTTAACATTTCTGAACTAACAGTTTCATTACTCATTGTGGGGGAAATGGTCATGACTGGGGGCAGGTTTGGTTTGAGCTAAATTTATCAATAAACTCATAGGTAAGCTTACAAAATAGCTCAAAATATTGGGCTCCAATACGATTCATAGAGCATGGCATTGTACTTATGAGACATGACAATAAAAACAAAAAATTAAAACAAATAATTAAAAAACAAACCCCAAAATGGCTAAAATAGTATTTAGCAGTTGGAATTAATTTTATGCTGAAGAAAAAACTAATAATCAGACCAGAAGAATAATGAAGACATGTCAAGACTGTAGCAGATTAAATCATGGTGCAGTTAAAGAAATAAAATGTTAGCTTCTGTTTTCACAAGATGAGGTGGGGTATAGTTTGGGGGGTCAAAGTTTACATACCTTCATATCCAGAACACTGAGGTCCTTCAAGCAGCATTGCAGTGGTAAAGAAAGGTTAGTGCATGTGTTAGTGCATGCTCTGTTTGCTGGCTTCTCCTGCTTTTGCTGCACTATTTCTGACAGACCAACATCCTTTTAGAGTAGGGGTGTCCACACTTTTTCATCATGGAGCTCCTTTTAAAATGACCAAGTCAAAGTGATCTACTTGCTACAAGGACCCGCTTACACAGAACAACCTCTGGAAACGTTAGTGTTTTTCAAATGTTTATTGGGGCTAATAAACAAAAAATGAGTGAGTTTATACAAAAACGCTGTAGTTACTATGTCAGTCGGGTTGCCAGATAAGAAATTATGAACTATAGTACTGTGGCTTTAAAATTACAGTATTTTTACCTAAACTGTCATGTGCTGAGTAAAAATATTCTAAGATGAGGTGTGTGTTGTGTTTGTTGAACATGTGTGCAGAAAAGGACGGGGTAAAGAAGACATTTAAAATGTATCTGGCAACCCTGATGCTGGCTCAATACATTCATTGTGCATGACAGTTACGTCCAAACTGGTGAATACACTAACGTCTCTTTGGAGCCTGGATTTTATTAGTTTTTCTCCTACATGCTGAAAAAGGGTGAGCAGCACAAAAACATTCTGCTCTGCCATTTATTATAACTGTTATTATTTATTATAACTTATTTATTATAAGTGTTATTTATTATAACTGTTATTATTTATTATAACTTTTGTTATTTATTATAACTGTTGTTATTTAATATAACTGTTGTTATTTATTATAACTGTTGTTAGTTCAGAAAAACCTTGGACTACAGCTGCCATACGTGCCACTTCACACAGAGAATTTTACACCACCGTGGGGGGGTGTTCCCTCAAAAACCTCCTCTCTGAGACCTGGATTCAGGAACCTTCAGTTTCAAAGAGAATGAGGCTGTTGTCTGTAAATGAACAGCCGAACGTTTCCCGTCATGTAAACAGAGCTTCAGTCTGGCTGCTCTGTCTGTCAGTGAAGTGACAAATTTCATAGATGGATGATAGACTGACGTCTAATTTTGTGATCTAACCATAACACCTTTGAAATTGACCTGTAGATTGCTCTGGACGTATTGGGCACCCCTGCTCTAAACGCCCACAGAAAGCAAATAAAGCTCATTCTGACCCAAATATTGCTGGACCTGAATATTCCATGTGGGGGAAACATCAACCAATTCATGAAACAACAGAAGATGATCAAACCACAAAATCAGTTTAGTCTTTTTTTTTAATCCATCTGGATATTAGAACAGGTATCCTGTGTGTGCACAATCTCTAGAATGACATTAAGTCCAAACAGATGAGGAAAAACATCTGTACAGAAGATGAAACTTCAACTTCTAGGATGGTGACTGATAACGCCTGAATTAGTTTGAAAAGATGATAGAAGTGGAAGGGAAGCATGCTGGGAAATGTTCAACTGAATTACCTTAATCCCTATAAGTGCAGGCTCCTTCGGTAGCACGGGAGTAAGAAACGGAGTTTAGCTTGACAAGCATTTAAGAACACTTCAAAATTATCTTCTATCTATACAACAACACACATCAACAGCACATCTAGGGGTGGGGGTGTATGTGTCGGGGTCTTATTTTTATTTATTTATTTATTTATTTATTATTATTTTTTTTTTTTTTCTCCTCTTCCTACCCACCTAGTTCCCTGACTGCCATTCCGGGGGTGGGGTCCGGGAGAAGGGCAGGCCGTCGGGTGTTGACCAGGACTATGTGGGGGTTCAGGGTCTGGGGGTTGCCATGGGCGGTGCTGGCGCTGTGCTCTCCCTGGGGTTGTTTGGACCCCCTGAGCTTGGCTCTTGGGTGCCATGGTTGGCCCGCTGGCCGGGGTGGCTGCCGGGGCCTGGTGGGCGGTCGGGTGGGGGTGCGTGCTTGGTTGTTGGCGGTGTGTGGGGGTGGTCGGTGGCGTGTCCTCTCCATGGTGGGGGGGTGTCCTGTCGGCGGGGCATGGCCTGGGCCGGGTCTGGGGTATTGGCTCTTCTCCGCTCAAGAATGAAAGGGTTTACCTCCTGGGTTTGGGCATGGGCTGCCCCCTGTAGAGGGCGGGTACATGTCTTGGACCTGGGGGGTATAGAGTGTGTATCGGGAATAAGAATGAAATGTATCGTTATTGTATGTCTTTGAGTGAATGAATGTGAGATTGAGGTTGGGATAGTCTGATTGTGTCTGTGTATGAATGGGTATTTGTTAGGCCGAGACTCGGACTGCCCCCTCTTTGATACAACTGGGGGTGCTTGGCATCGCGCCCCTATCGCGCGGCCCCCTGGTGGGGTGTGCCCTTGTCTGCTGGCGCGCTTGGGGCCCTTGGTATCGGGGGCTGGACGCTTGGGCGTGTGTCGGCTCGGCCTGGTGTCTGCCTGGTGGGGCTCGGGTCCTCTGGCCCTGTCAGGCCTTGGCCTGGGAGGTGTGAGTCCTCGGTGCCCGGGCCTCGGTGCCTGGACCTGGACCTACATCGGTGCGGCGGGTGCCGACGGAGGCCTATGAGTTTGTCGCTGTTGGCCCCGGGGGGTCACTGTATGTGGTTGCTGGTGGGGATCTTCCGGTTCTCCCCTGTGGTCCGTTCTGGGGGGTGGGTGAGTGGTTCGTCCTGTGTGGGTGGCTCTGGGGGCTCCGCGGTCGGGGTCCCTCCTGGGGTCTTGGGCTCTGGTCCCCCCTTTTTCGTCTGCCTCTGGTCTTGGGGGTCGGGTCTCTGCTGCTTCACAGTTACTAATAAATGTTCTATTAGAGAAGCCTTATACACTTATGCATGCTCACAACCACACACAAATAGAAGCAGGGATGCTTATGTAGGCTTTATATGTAGATATATAGATATGTATGTGAGTGTATATTCATGTGTATGTATGTATGTATGTATATAGGCGTAGGTATGGGTATATATATTTATGGAAACTTACTGCAAAGCCGTGAATATTTTAAGTTCTTTATACATATGTATTTTGTTGCTGTGTTTTGTCATGTTCTTTGCAGGTGAACAGACAGTGGCCGGGTGTTTTGACGTGTGCTCTATTTGTATATATGTCTTATATTTTGGAGTCTTTGTCTTTTCTTTCTTTCTATCCTATTAAAAAAAAAAAGAAAAAAAAGAAACGGAGTTTAGCTAGCAGAGAGCCAGTGATCAAGCTGTGCTTCATTTCAATTCAATTCACTTCATTCAATCAACTCACAGTTTTGAACAAATAATACAAACATGTAAAACATATTTTACAATTATATTCAGTCTAGTCCTCTTCAAATAATGACATTCTCCTCATGCTTGTTGAAGCTCCTGTCCCTGGGTTTTAAAGTGCAGCACTCGGGGGAAGAAAAGCTCCTTTTTTCCAGCCCACAGACTACATTAGCATAGTGTACTTATAAAACTGTAGAGAGGGCCAGATGCTGCTGCAGTGACACACACACACACACGCACATGCACTCACACACACACACAAACACACACACACACACACTGTAAAATACAGCACACTACAGGGAGAGAGGGTGACTATGTAATGAGAAGGAGAATTACACAGGAGTGATATAACTGAAGGTAGGCAGACTGACACATCAGAGACAAACAAGATGGAAAGCAGTGGAGGTGTGGAGACTGATTGAAAAAAAACAACAACTTTGGCATCATTTTGATGTTTTATATTTCTACAGATTTTTCATGAGCACAAATCTAATGCACTAGCATATAGGAGGAAACTTAGCTTCTTTAAAAACAAGATTGCAATGAGGAGGGTTTTTTTTCCCCACTATGGAGTGAGCTGTTTTGTAGAAATCAGTTTGTTTGGTGTCTCCTCAGACTGAAAAAGTCCTTTGGATGAAGAACGAAATGTCTCAGCAAAAAAAAGAAACCGTCCAGATGACCTGGCTGAACATTGTTGGATTTTTACCTGGATTACTGAGCATGAACTTTGGTGTTTGACTGCAACGAGGAGATTTTCCAACAACTTTCAATTTATAAACTTCTATTCAAACTTAAGGAAGTACAGTGGTGCTTGAAAGTTAGCAAACCCTTTATAATTTTTTTTATTTCTGCAAAAATATGACCTAAAACATCATCAGACACATGTCCTAAAAGTAGATAAAGAGAACCCAGTTAAACAAACGAGACTCAAATATTATACTTGGTGTTTAATTTTTGAGGGAAATGATCCAATATTACATATCTGTGACTGAGAAAAGTATGTGAACCTTTGCTTTCAGTATCTGGTGTGACCCCCCGTGCAGCAAGAACTGCAACTGGCCTGGACCTTTTAGCTATTCTTTAGTGATTTTAGCTTTTTTAGTTTTAAGCTACAATTCTGCTACTTTTTAAGCTACTTCTTACCTTTTAGCAACCGTTCTGCTGCTTTTATATTTTGGCTATAATTCTGCTCTTTTCAAATACAGTTACACTCATTTTAGCTTATTTGACTAATTTTAGCTTCAGCACCTGTTTTGCTATTATTAGCATCTGTTTTGCCAATTTTAGCATTAGCGTCTGTTCAGCTAATTGTAACCACTGTTCTGTTGCTGCTAGTTTTTCACTCATGTTCGACCCTTTTTAGCTTGTGTTGTGATCAGTTTAGTTTTAATTTTAACAATTTTCTTCACTCGTCAGTGAAAGATACCTTCAGATGAAACAAGGCAGATCTTGTGATCAACTCTTTTGCCCCCACTATGCAACACTATATAAATATTTAACTATAATATAACAAAGACATTTGTATTTAAAAAAAGTAAACCTAACACAGTTCAAGTTAAAAAGGAAAACAAATTGTAGCTCTCAGACTTGTTGGTGTCATCAAAAGGCAAAAGAAAAAGACAGATGAGTTGAAAACGAAAAACAAAGTCTCACCTCATAGATTCCTCCAAACAGAGACATGAACCTGCTAAGGAGAGCAGCACAAAGACTGGCGATGTGGACAAAAGGACCCTGACGAGAGGAGACATAAAATATATGAGACAGGTGCATTCACTTCAGGTTAAGCATCACTTTAACTTCTCATTTGTTGTGGGTCACATGTGACAGCATGCTGAAGCTCTTTAAAAACACATCAATAAGATGAAAGCCTGCAGAGTATCTTAAAATTCACAGGATGCAGTTCAAAGTGGAACTGATGAGATAAAAGTAGGAGTTAGAAGGGTGATGCACCATATGAAGTCAGGCCTGCACTGAATCAGAACTACAAGACTGTGCTGCAGTAATGCGCAACCACAAAACCCAAGGTGTGTGTGTGTGTGGGTGTGGGTGTACGTATTGTTTTCCTGTTGGTGCACCTTCAGGCAAAGCAATCTTTAGGGGGAAATTCTACTTAGCTGAATTGTTTGAAACTGCCTTAGATACAGCCTGCAGTGCGCCCACAGAGACCTGTCCAGAAGTTTTTACCATCTGATAACTCAGAGTTCTCACAAACCAAAAGAACAAGAATTTATGGTCTGTAGCTCTGAGGGTGAGGTTCTGCCTCAAGTGGAGGAATTCAAGTATTTCTGGGGTTTGTTCACGAGTGAGGGAAGAATGGAGCCTGAGATTTACAGATGGATCAGTGCAGCGTCTGCAGCATTGCGGACTCTGTGCCAGTCCATTGTGGTGAAGAGGGAGCTGAGCTGTAAGACAAAGCTCTTTGTTTACTGGTTGGTCTACGTTCCTACCCTCAACTATGGTCGTGAACTCTGGGTAGTGACTGAAAGAACTAGATCGTGGATACAGACGATTGAAATGGGTTTCCTCTGCAGGGTAGCTGGACTCTCCCTTATAGGGTGAGAAGTTTAGTTATCAGGAGAGACAGTGTAGAACCGCTGCTCCTCCACATCGAAAGGATCCAGTTCAGGTGGTTCGGGCATCTGGTAAGGATGCTTCCTGGATGACTCCCTAGGAAGGTTTTACAGGCATGGCCAACTGGGAGGAAACCCCAGTGAAGACCCAGGACATACTGGAGAGACTATGTCTCGCTGTTGGCCTGGGAACACCTTGAAGTCCTCCCAGAAGAGCTAGAAGAGGTGGCTGTGGAGAGAGATGTCTGGACCTCCCTGCTCAAGCTGCCCCCCCCCCCCCATCCCCCCGAGACCGGACTTAGGAGCAAGTGGAAGATCAGTGTTTCCCCTAGATAACTTGCCATAGCGGGGTGCTCATCTCATCCGGGATATTTGTCGACCAGGGACCCATGCATGTTAGACTGATTGGTGACTCTAAATTGTTCCTAGGTGAGAGTGAATGGTTGTTTGTCTTGTCTGTCTCTATGTGTCCGTGTGATGGACTGGAGACCTGTCCAGGGTGTCTCCCACCTCTCGCACAGTGATAGCTAGATATGGGCACCAGTGACCCCTGGATTGGCAGACCGGGGTTTGTTTGTTTGTCATTTTTATTCATTTCATATTTAAAACACAAAAACAATTTAGAAACCAAATGAAAAAAAAAAACGTAATAAAATGAAAGGTAGCAGAAGAAGAAAAAATCTTATCATATCTGCCCCTTGTTTAAAACAAAATCAATTAAAATAATTCAAATAATCATCTATAAGTAATATAACAAAATAAATAACTCATCACAATTTTACATATTTATATGTATCTTTCCAAAATTTTAATCTTAATCATTTTCTTAAATATAGGCATTGACTTTACTTTTTTTACATTGTTTTCCAAACTATTCCATATTCAATAGGGGTGGTGGTCCCCCTATTCAAAAAGGGGGGACAGTAGAGTGTGTTCCAACTACAGGGGGAATCACGCTCTTAAGCCTCCCTGGTAAGGTCTATTCAGGGGTTCTGGAGAGGAGGGTCCATCGGATAGTCGAACCTCGGATTCAAGAGGAGCAGTGCGGTTTTCGTCCTGGTCGTGGAACACTGGACCAGCTCTACACTTTCAGCAGGGTCCTGGAGGGTGCGTGGGAGTTTGCCCAACTGGTCTACATGTGCTTTGTGGACTTGGAGAAGGCGTTCGACCGCGTCCCTCGGGGAACCCTGTGGGGCGTACTCTGGGAGTATGGGGTACCAGGCCCTTTGATATGGGCTGTTAGGTCCCTGTATGACCAGTGTCAGAGCCTGGTCCTCATTGCCGGCAGTAAGTCAGGCTCGTTCCCGGTGAGAGTTGGACTCGCCAAGGTTGCCCTTTGTCACCGATTCTGTTCATAACTTTTATGGACAGAATTTCTAGACGCAGCCAAGGTGTTGAGGGGATCCATTTTGGTGGCCTTAGGATCGCATCTCTGCTTTTTTCAGATTATGTGGTCCTATTGGCTTCATCAGATTGTGATCTACAGCTTTCGCTGGAGCAGTTCGCAGTTGAGTACAACACAGCCGGGATGAAGATCTGTTCCTCCAAATCCGAGGCCATAGTCTTGAGCCGGAATAGGGTAGAGTGCCCTCTCTGGGTCAGGGAGGAGGTCCTGCCCCACGTGGAGGAGTTCAAGTATCTTGGGGTCTTGTTCACGAATGAGGGAAAAATGGAGCGTGAGATCGATAGGTGGATAGGTGCAGCGTTTGCAGTGAAGCGGGCGCTGTACAGGTCTGTCATGGTGAAGAGAGAGCCGAGTCAAAAGGCGAAGCTGTCAATTTACCGATCGATCTACGTTCCTACCCTCATCTATGGTCATGAGCTTTGGGTTGTGACCGAAAGAACGAGATCTCGAATACAAGCGGCCGAAATGAGTTTTCTCTGCAGGGTGTTTGGGCTTTCCCTTAGAGATAGGGTGAGAAGCTTGATCATCCGGGAGGGACTCAGATTAGAGCTGCTGCTTCTCCACGTCGAGAGGAGCCAGTTGAGGTGGATCGGGCATCTGGTTAGGATGCCTCCTGGACGCCTCCCTGGTGAGGTGTTCCGGACACGTCCCACCGGGAGGAGACCCAGAGGAAGACCCAGGAAACACTGGAGGGACTATGTTTCTCAGCTGGCCTGGGAACGCCTTGGAATTCCCACGGAGGAGCTGGCCCAAGTGGCTGGGGAAAGGGAAGTCTGGGCCTCCCTAGTTAAGCTGCTACCCCCGCGACCCGAATCCGGATAAGCGGAAGAAAATGGATGGATGGATGGACACCCATGACCCGTGAAGGAAGAAGTGGGTAAAGACAATGGATGGATGGATGGATGGATGGATGGATGGATGGATGGATGGATGGATGGATGGATGGATGGAATGAAACATGAACCACTGAACAAGTTATTATGAATCTGGCAGAAGGTAATTATCTTCAACTGTAGATCTACAATTCAATCTAGCTGCCACAACCAACTGACCTTAAAAATGCAAATAAAAAAAGGTGTCTCCCCTACCATATCCAAGGAGGGAACTCCACCCTGTCAACAGAATCGAGCACAACTACCAAATCCCCCCCCCCCCCCCAACCTTCTCTTGCTCCGCTACTTCTGGACGGGGAGCGGTGGAGATTGTAGCATCTAGCATTAGTACCACACAACAAGCGATTGTGTAATATAAACAGAACTCATGCTGTGTGTACATCTGCAATAGCTTTTATCTTTTACAAAGCTGTGTTTATTTACTATGAATTATTTTTCTTTCAGATTTAAAATAATATCTATTTCAATGGATTTGAATTTGATTTAATTTTGTTGTAAATGCAACGATAATACAAATATTCTGTTTTAAAAAGTAAATCACTGAAAGTATATCTACAAATGGATAACTTTAGGAGTCAATCCAATTCAAGTTGGCTGCCATAACTAATCAACATCGTCCAACACAAAAAGTGCTACAAGTCAGCCAGTATTACAGACACTGAACTAAGATTTGATTTGGTAGTAGCTTAAAGTCATTCACAAAACAGGAAAGGAGTGGACAATAAGCATTTCTTTAATGAAGACTAGGCCTTTAATTTACTTCATGTATGCACTGGTTCATGGCATGACACAGCAGATACAAAACGTTGGTTACGTACTGTAACCCCAGATTCTATGAGTATAAGCGTAGCCCTTTAAGGCTGTCGCTTGGTGGGTTTATCCCGTTATGCAGAGCATTAGCACTGAAAAATTTAGTCCACGCCCACCTGCTGTGTGGGCCCTACCCGGTCTGTATAAATTACGTTAAGAGCGGGAAATCGGCTCCCAAAATAGCTTTTTCTTCAGCCATTTAGGAGCCAGTGAGGCCCGACGCTTAAAGGGCTACGCTTATACTCATAGAATCTGGGGTTACAGTACGTAACCAACGTTCTATTTCGTATAAGCTTCGCCCTTTAAGGCTGTCGCTTGGTGGGTTAAGGGCGAAGCAGATGTGGTCCTCGCCTCACTGGGTCCATTTGAGCACCGTATGAAGCAGAAGCTTGCCCAAAAAACGTCTTGTCACTCAGCTCCCTATGTGCGTAATTACGCATTGCGTAATTATGTGAGTCATGCACAGACGCATGTTGTATAACTATGCGTTCATGGCTGAGCAGTATAGACAGATAAATAATAACAAATGACTGATTATTAATCAAATGAACTGATTGGTAACAATAGTCATGAACTGATTAGTGACAATAGAACCAAAATAACAGACACAACTTGTGACTGATAACATCTCACACTGTAAAGCATGCAGACAGATGTGAGCTTAAACAGAGTTCCATGAAAACAACAATATTCATTCTGTTAGAGCACTAAGGACAGAA